TGGTTGAGCCTTTGGATGTAAAAGTGATCTTCACAGACGTGCAAGAAGTCATACTGGAGAGAAACACTATGAGTGTAGTCAATGTGATAAAGCCTTTACATACAAGAGCAGTCTTCACAGGCATGAAAGAAGTCATAGTGAAGAGAAACCCTATGAATGTAGTCAATGTTGTAAAGCCTTGCAACATAACAAATCATCTTCACAGGCATAAAAGAATCATACTGGAGAGAAGCCTATGGATGTAATCAATGTGGTAAAGTCTTTGCATACAAATGTCATTTTCAGAGGCATGAAAGAAGTCATACTGGATAGAGACACTATGGATATAATCAATGTAGTGAAGACATCTTATGTAACAATCACCTTCAAATAAATGAAAGAACTCTAAGTGTAGGAAAACCCTATGAACATAGTCAATGCATATAAAATTATATTCACAGTCATGAAAGAACAACTTGATAAAAAACTCAATGAAAGTAATAAGTGTGGTAAAGTCTTTGCATACTGATGAATATCCCCATGAACCTAATACATGAGCATTGCAGTCCATACATTTTTACCACTGTGCTATCTCACCATTGCATGAGTAGAATTAGTAGAATATTGTCTCCTTTTCAAGTTGTAAAGATATTGTATTCCAAGAATACAGAAACACATGATCATTTTAATAGTAAACTGTATTTTCAAATGAAATTTACATCTGTGCTGTCATCCACTACTTTTGGATCATCTTAATTTATTCTGAGGACTAAATACTTGTTCTTCACTTTTTCTCTGAAATGAATGCCAAAGAGTTTCATCAGTGGGTAAATGTGGTTGCTGTGAGGTGGATGACCTGCATTCACTCTCTGGAAGACTCACATTATTCACAGAAGTCTTTCTCTGATGACTACACTTGGCTTGTATGCACACCACACACCACCACATACAGAAATAAGGTTCAGTGAGTTCCCTCAACAGTTAAGGGCACTTATTGCCAAACTTGACTACCACCGTTTGATCTCTAGTACTAACGAAAAAGGAATTAGAGAATAGAGAGCTATAAGTTGTTCTCTGACTGGCACATGCAACCCAAGGTACTGTTGTTTACACACAATTAATTTTTTTCCACTGAGTAGCTCTGACTGTCCTGGAAGTGATTCTGTAGACCAAGCTGACCTCAAACTCAAAGAGATATTCCTGCTTCTGCCTCCCAAGTGCTGGGATTAAAGGTGTACATCATCAACACCCCATCAGTTAAAAAGTTTTTTTTTTTTTTGGTTTTTTTCGAGACAGGGTTTCTCTGTGGCTTTGGAGGCTGTCCTGGAACTCCCTTGGTAGTCCAGGCTGGTCTCAAATTTACAGAGATCTGCCTGCCTCTGCCTCCCGAGTGCTGGGATTAAAGGCGTGCGCCACCAACGCCCGGCTAAATGCATTTGTTTTTTTTTTAAATATTTTATTATTTATTATGTATGCAGTGTTCTACCTGCATGGTGTTTGCCTACACACCAGAAGAGGCACCAGGTCTCATTACAGATGGTTGTGAGACACCATGTGGTTGCTGGGAATTGAACTCAGGACCTCTGGAAGGGCAGTCAGTGCTCTTAACCTCTGAGCCATCTCTCCAGCCCCTAAAAAGTTTTAAAGGAAGGAAATTTACAATGCAAAGAAATTAACCAAAATATGGAGAACATAGAATAAAATTTATCAGTTGGATACGTTGGAAAATCTCAAGAAGTATTGTTCATTAAAATATGATGCTTCATGTTTTGATTTATGTTATTCTTTCACTGTCTGATTCAAAAACACCATTTAAATAACATCACTCCTGTGTGTAGAGCTGTACTCTTGTAATCCCAGTACTTGGGAGAGGGAGGCTGGTGAATCTCTCTGAATTCGAGGTCAGTCTGTCCCAGATATAAGTTCTAGGATGATAATAGGTATATCAAGAGAGCCTGTCTTGAAAAATCCAAATAGGGGCTCTGGAAAGATGGCTGCTTTTCCCAGAGGACCCAGGTTCAATTCTCAGCACCCATGTGGAAGCCAGCTGATACACACGTTCAAGGGGCCTGGTTGAGTTTTATGAAGTTCCCCAGCTGTCATACTGGGTTCCATGAACTCCCACTTGCTCAGGTCAGCTGTTTCTGTGGGTGTCTCCAGCACGGTCTTGACCCCTTTGCTCATCACTTCTTCCTCTCTACAACAGGATTCCAGGAGTTCGGCTCAGTGCTTGGCTGTGAATCTCTGCTTCTGCTTCCATCAGTTACTGGATGAAGGCTCTAGGATGCCATTTAAGGTAGTCACCAATCTCATTAAAGGGGAAGGGCATTTAAGGTAGCCTCTCCACTACTTAGGGCAAGTATTTAAAGGAAGGCACTTAATTATAGTTTGAGACTTTTATTCTATTCCCATCATGGTGTGGAGCATAGCAGCACCTAGGCAGACATGGTAACTGATAGTTCTACACCCAGACCCACACATAGCCCGTAGAGGGAAAGGCACTGGGCTTGGCTTGGGCCCTTGAAACCTCAAAGTCTACCCCTAGTGATATACTTGCTTCATCAAGACCACACCTACTCCAATAACACCACACCCCCTAATCCCTCTTTAATAATACTACTCCTCTCATTGATGGCTAATGGAGGCTATTCTCAGTCAAAATACCACATTATTGCTTTTAAAAATTTCATTCTTGCATATAGGTCACTACTCTAATCTGTATTTTCTTCCCCAATGTCTCTCAGTCATTAAAAACTGTTTTTCTTATTTGCTACAAATGTTTTTTTATTTATTTTTAGACCAAAGTGTCAAGTAGATGGCATAATTTTGGTTCCATTTGCTGCGAGGAAGCACCATGCCAAAAACCAGTTGGGGAGGAAACAGTTTATTCGGTTTCACACTTCCATATCACTGTTCATCCTCAAAGGAAGTCAGGACAGGAACTCAGACAGGATAGGAACCTGGAGGCAGGAGCTGATGTAGAGGCCACAGAGGGTGCTGCTTACTGTGTTGCTCCCCATGGCTGGCACAGCCTACTTTCATATAGAACCTGGCTTTGAGTTGGCCCAACAATGGACCACTGGCTTTGAGGTGGCCCAACAATGGACTAGGCCATTTCCACCTATAACTAATTAAGAAAGTACCTGGCAATACTGCTTACAACCAGATTATATAGGGACATTTTCTCAATTGAGGTTCCCTCTTCTCAGATGATTTGAACATGCTTCAAGTTGACACCAAAGAACCCAACCCATTAGGCCAGTTTGCCTTGTTCTAAGTCATCAAGAATTGCTTTGAACACTTAAAACCATTTGTGCCACTCACTCCTACAAATACATGTATCAGGTCAGTGAAAAGGATAATGAGACAAGGGAATGAATGTTGTTCTAGAGCCCAGGTTTTTATTGGTCATGACCCCTTATCAGTGACAGGACCCTGTAGTAACCCACATTGAGGGGCATCTTTCTGTTGGGTCCAGCTGTCTTGTCTGGCCTATATCTGAGAAGGGGAGTGTGGATTGAGGAAAGAAATAAGCAAGAGACAAGAGATAGAGTCGGGAGGTTACCTGGTGGATACCAGAATCAGCCCAAATTTATTATTCGAAGCTCTTATATACCCCAATCCAAAGGGGCAAAGACTTCCTTACCAAGATACAAAGAACAAGCAAGTGTAATTACCTTCTCAGACACCCAAAACATCTGGCAACCACACCCTTAAACCAAATATCCTGCTGTCAAGATGAGACATCTGTTAGTTACACTTTAGGCCAGATATCCTGTTGTCAAGGCAAGATACACAATAGCCACACCTTAGGCCAAACATTCTGTTGTTTAACCTTGAAAGAGCAATAGTACATTTGAACTCTCTGACCTTAAGTCAAGATTAAGCTGAGCCACTTTTATGAGACCCATCAGGACCCCTAATTTCTAAAGGAAACTCTTCTTACCTACACAAGGGTCATGTGTCCCACATTGGGCACCTGTTGTGGGGGTCCCTGCAGGATGAGAATGAAAACCCAGTGCAGATTGATGTCATCAGCCTGGATCAGACTTCGGGGAGGCTGCTACCAAGTGTATCACTGTCACGACACTGAAAACACAGTGCAATTTGGGAAAAGGTTTTCATGCAACCATCAGTCCAATTCCAAGTGCACCGTAAAGCTTAAGGTGTATTACATAGAGTTTTACAAAGTCATGAGACCATGAGGGTGGGTTCTATAGCTAAAAGGCCTAGAATCTGGTGTGATCTCTGACCAAGAAAGCATAGAGGTCAGCAGGCCATAGGGAGCACGTGACATCTCCCCTCCAGTGCTCAATGGACTAGGGAGGGAAGTCTCTGGGATAATCTCTCTGGGGAAGAGTGGTGAGGTCTGCCTCTGTAGCAGCAGGTGGATGAGGTCTGAAGAGTGGTGAGGTCTGCCTCTGTAGCAGCAGGTGGATGAGGTCTGAAGAGTGGTGAGGTCTGCCTCTGTAGCAGCAGGTGGATGAGGTCTGCTCCACAGATAGCAGAAAGGTCACCAGGTCATTAACAAAGTCCACCCTCAGCCTTCTGGGTGGAATTGGGGATATTTGGTTAGTATCTCTTCCATTGAGCAGAGTGGGTGATTAAATTCCTGGTTCTCTTACTGCTTCTCTGTGAGTACCAGGACCTCTGTGCTCCCCACATCCAGCCATTCTGTAATCAGGATTAGCACGTGACTCCACCTGCTGTTTTCCGTGTCCAGGTAGAAATGAGGAGCCCTTTGAAACTACGTTACCCAGTTGGGCTGGTTTCCTTTGTCCTTTCTCAGTTTCATAGCAAAAGCTCACTAATGCCCGAGAAATGAGTCCTACTCAGTGCAGGCAGAGTTCATGGAAGACGTCACAGTCCAGTCCTAAGCTCTGCCCCAATCCCAATCTCTCCAGGTCTGGGGCAGTTCGTTACCTGGAGAGTGGAAGCCAGAGCTGGAAACCACTGGATCCATTCGCACATCTGCCCTCAGGGAGGCGTTGCTATCGCTCCGGCCTCGGTAACCAATCAGGGCCTCCAGATGGACTGCCAGTCAGAATGGAGGCGGGCACTTCCGGTCCACCAAGCTGAAGGCGTGGGCGACCGAGACGGGAGGAGGCCGCGCTGTTGCGTGTGCTGAGCTGTGAGCCGGTCCCGGGGGCTGTGAGGAGAGCGCGGCGAGCGCGGAAGCCGCCATGGTGAGCGAGCGGCCGCCGTCCGCACTCGAGGAGCCGCGGGCGCCGGCGTGGGTCCTCCCGGGGCCGTGGGAACCCGCGGCGGCCTGAGCGGCGACTCCTCTTGGTCCCCTGAGGTCCCTCCAGCTCCCAGGCTGCCCCTGGACGACTTTGCCCTGCCTGATGCCCCTGTGCAGAGCACGGGGAGCATGAGTGCTTGTGCGGAAACTTCCTGGTCATCATGCAGGGCTTGCGCGCATGCGCTGTTTTTTTTACTATCGCCAGGGAAGGCAGATAAGCTAACTCACAGCCCTGGTCACTCTAGGGTCTTCTAGAAGTTCTGCACTTGTCATTGAACATTCAGGCGTAGATCCGTCTGCAGTTAATTCTGTGCAGGGTGTAAAGTCTGTGTCATTAACACATTTGCTTGTAGATTCCAGGATGGTCCGGTCACTGGGTTTCCTGGCCTCACGTGTCACTTTTGACTACATTAATTGTGTTTTTATTTTTGAGTTTGCTCTCATGTCCTGTTGATCTGTTTATTCTTTTCCAGATAGCGCAATCTCCCCTCACCGCTCCTATTGGTTTTCTCCGTGGAACCCTGGCAGTCCTGGAACTCACTCTGTAGACCAGGCTGGCCTCGAACTCCATTTGTGTGCGGCCACCATCGCTCAGTTCAGTGCAGTCTCTATTGCAGTTGAATTCAAAGCTCGGAGTTAGATGGTGTCACTGTTGATCAGTTTTTCATTCATGATGACTTTCATGTGATTTCTGTTGTTGTCATAAATTGTTAGCCTTTTATTCGACTCTTTCTATATCCATAGCTCAAATTCTGTATTGTCTTAATATAATATTGACATAATAGCCAGAATGGCAGCAAACCACTCAAGGTTAGTCCAACTCCCTGCTAGGGCAAGCCCATCCTCCATCGGCCACAATTCCCAGTGGTGTCTCCACTTATCCATGGTTAAATGGGCACGGTTACACCTTTCCTTTAAAAAGACACTTTGATTAGGTTTGTATGAATGGTGCATATGACCTAGGCAGGTAGGCCCCACACGCTAAGGAACAGAGGAAGGAATTCCATGACCTCAACCAGAGACCGTTGAGTCCACACAAATGTTCACCACGTTGATTGTAACTGTTGAAGCCAATTGTTGTCATCTGTGTCTTTCACCTTGTCCTCAGTCCCCAAACACAAGATGTTGCCTGACCCCATTTTATCGAAGTTGAGAATGACCCAGGCTGTGATCAGACAGATTTATGACTCTCCATGTTTGCTGGATTGAAGGTTTTCAGGTTTAATTTGCTAAAATGGTTACATCAGTGGTGGTGGTGCATGCCTTTAAACCCAGTACTTAGGAGGCAGAGGTTAGCCTCGTATATAAAGCAAGTTCTAGGGCTGCCAGGGCTACACAGAGAAGCCCTTTCTAGAAAAAGGAAAAAAAATTGAATAAATTTAAGACTTGTGTGTCCCATCTACCCACTTAGAAACACAGCTTCAGGACGGCATCATCTATAACTGTCACACTCAAGCACACCAGGAGACGCCTTCATTGCTTCCACCAGACCTGATCCAAGGTTTCCCAGGTTCTCTGAGGCAACTGGGTAGGGAGGGAAACAAGGGACAAGGCCTTGCACCCAGAGAAAAGATATGGACTGAAGACTAAGTTTGGAGGCTTTGAATTGTTTAGTATTTTCTTAGAAGCGTAGGGAAGGTTATATTAAGGAAGACTACAACCCAGCCAGAGTTGGCTTCCCCATTTGGAGGAAATGTTTTTCCCACTTGTTTCTCTGTCTCTTTTTATCTGTCTTCCCCTCTTCCTCTCTCTGTTTGCCTTAGTATCACACACCCCTTTCCTTTAGTTCTCTTTCTTTTTAGATTGGATTCCTGTCCGTGGTTTATATTTGTTCTGGATCCTATCTTTGAATGCTTGGTCCCCAATTAGTGGACGTAATTGTGTAAAATAAGGAAGTATGTGTGACAGCGTTCCTGCTGGGCTACTCATGGTCTGGTTGCAGAGTGGTAGCAGAGCTAATCCATCTTTTGATTAGCAGATAACCTTTGTTTCTCTTGTCACCCTTTGAATTTTGTCTTGAGTTTCCCAAGGATACAAAGTCTATGCCAAACTTGGTTTGGGAAACTTGGAGAACTGTGTTACCTGATGAATTGAGAATTTGCACTTGGCATTGTTTTTTTTTTTTTTTTGGAAGCTTCATTCAGGTTTTTTTGAGCATGTGGAAATTAGCTGACTAAAGTGTAAATATTGAGAAAAATAAAAGTGCTCTGGGCAAAAGGAAAGACTTCAGTCCATCCAGACTGAATCTTCCTGTAGCCTGGAAAGGCTAAATTCATTCTTGGAAGTCTCTAGAGTCTTCTTTCCACTGACTTGTGTGAGTCCAACACCCTCTCCTTGTCAGGTATGCTCTTGTGGAAATAGGTGTGTCTTGTTTGTATAGGTGTGTCAGTGTGAGTTAGCTTTGAGGTTTCAAAAGACCAGTGCAAGGCAAGTGTTTCCTTCTGCCTGCCTGTGTATCAGTCCCATGCCTGCCTACTGTGATGCTTCCTTTCAAGTAGAGAACAGATTACCCTCAGCCACTATAATCAATCCCCAGACTAAAAGGCTTCCATTTTAAGTATTGCCTTCCTCATAGTGATTCTTCCCAGCAAGAGAAGTCTCAGTAAGACACATTGTATAATATTTTGGTGAATAGTGGACTGATCTTATTTTGGGGGGGTTCTTGGTTTCTAGAAGCAGTGTTTTTGTTTTTTTTTTAAGACTAGTTATTATATATATATATATATATATATATATATATATATATATATATGAGTGCTCTATCTGAATGTATGCCTTTATTCCAGATGAGGAAATCAGATACCACTACAGATGATTGTGAGCTATCATCTGGTTGCTGGGAATGGAACTCAGGACATCTGGAAGAGCTGCCAGTGTTCTTAACTGCTGAGCCATCTCTCCAGCCCTAGGGACTGATACCTTGAGAAAGCATTCAGCCTGTGACATAGTTACCACTAGAAAGTCTTTCATTTCTTTCTTTTTTTCTATCTTTACCCATTTTTCATTCATTAGAGAGGTATGGAGGGTCTGTTTGTAAGCTTTCTGATGCTTTGGGTATTTTTGATATCCAGCTTTAACCTCTGGTGGTGTGATAGGATTCAGGGATTTATTTCAGTTTTCTTGTATCTGTTGAGACTTGCTTTGTGTCTGAGTATATGGTCAATTATGGAGAAAGTTTATGAGGTGCTTGTTGTGGGCATTCACCAAAGAAGACTGCTGGGATGTGGGTTTAAGGCAACAGAAAGTCTTTGTTATCTGGCCTGCAGCTTTTAAACACAAAAACCATGTTCTAGGTCGACACACTTTAGTTAACAAGAACAGTTGTCCAGAACCTGAACTATAGACTAGAAAACAAGGTTACTACATTTTCCTATAAATATCCACTTTGATGGATTAGGCATTTGTTTTCTTTTGGCGGGTGGTACTGTCTATGTGCTGAGTTTTACGGCCTGAACGGCACTTCCATCATGGAGTCAGTTGTGCTAAGGTCTGGGGGCCTACTAAGGACTTGGGCCTGGTACAGTCCCAACAGAACTGAGTTAATGAATCAAATCATGAACTCATCCTGTTTTAGTTAAGATGTAGTGTAGGTTGAATTCTATTGGTCTTAATAATAAAAAACTGGAGCCAGATATTGGGGGAAATGCTGAAAGATCAGAGAAGGAGCTAGCCACTAGAAAGACTTCTCACCTCTACTGAATCCTCAGATGGAAGCACTTGAGCTCTTGTCTCTACAAATCCTCAGACCAAATGGGCCAGAGATCCTGTTTCCTCCTGCCTTATATTCCTAGCTCCACCTCCCTAGTGCTGGGATTAAAGGCATGAGATCCCAAAGGTGTGTCACCACTGCCTGGCCTCTATGGTTAACTAGTGGCTAGCTCACACTCTGATCATCAGTCAAACTTTGTTAGAGCACAAACAAAATATCACAATGCAGTGCTCCACCATTAATCCAATCAGAATTAGAATTAAATGTCCAGGTAGTGCTGATAGCAGAGTAGTTAGCCAAAGGGACAAGAAGAACAGAGACTGGTATCAATTACTCCCCCAACCTTGGCAATGTTTTTTTAAATTACTCCTGATCAATTAGCATAGGATCAACATTTTTTTTCCTGCCAAAGTCATACATAGTTTCCTTCATCTCATGAGAACAGTAAGTCTAAGCATTTTTAATTTTGTAGGGTCATTTTTTTATAAGGGAATATAACTATTGTTTTAATTCAGAAATGGAATCCTTTATACCATCAGGTCCTGATCTACTTAGCCTACTTAGTATGGTAAACATCAGAAGAGACACATTTAGTCAAACCATTGGTACATGCCTACTAAGCAGTCCCAGGGACTCAGTAATATTGTTGTTATCCTGACGGATTAACCCATAAAGCAGTACATTAATTTGGGCTACCCCCAGTCATAGTGAGTTTTGTCAGTCAATGGGCTGACAGTCTGGTTAATTCCTATCCTTGTGGATTATGACAGAGACCAGGTATCTAAATATAACCAGCAGTTCTGGCCTATTCTGGCTAGGCATGATAAAGTCCATCCTTAGGGTCCCTTCCTGTTGCTTAGGGTCTGATTCTGCAAGTATTTCCTGTTCCCCATAGGCCAGAATCTTTTAGCTAATTTACTTTCTATTCTAATTTGCATTATCAAGTTATCTTTTAATGTCTCTCAAAGTTTTACACCTTACATATCTTTAGTGAGTTTCCTTTCTGAGTCTGGTAAGCAATGAAAATTATAACTATACTACTTAGTCTTCAACTTCCTCAGAGACCCGAGAAGGAAATAATATTAGCTGAGTAAGCAGGATGTTCAAGCAAGGGACTTCCAAAAAATGTGAGAAATGATAAAAACAGCTGACTGCCTGGATAGTCACCCAGGGTTCTTTTGCAAAGTTGGGGCATCCATCTTTGGCTTTTAGGCCTAGAGTATCTGACAGACATTTCTGTGAAGCAGGATATTCTGAGGGACTGTCCTGCTTTGTCTTGGCAAGGTTTGTAGTCACTCTTTTTGTGGTTCTGTTTGTCTGATTGGGACAGCATACTTCCAGCAGTTGAGTCAAGGACACATCCTTGCCAAGTAGCTAACTTTTACCACAAAGAAAGCAAACTCCATGTGGAGTTTCTTCGATGCCTATCATCTTTTATGTAGATTGATGCTGCCAGGAGCAAAGGTGTCTCATTGTCATAAAAAAAAAGAACCTATGCTATTAAAACATTTTTTTTTGTTTTTGTTTTTTTATGAGACAGGGTTTCTCTGTATTGTTTTGAAGGCTGTCGGTCCAGCCCAGCCTTGAACTCACAGAGATCCGCCTGCCTCAGCCTCCCGAGTGCTGGGATTAAAGGCGTGCGCCACCACCGCCCGGCAAAACATTTTAAATACTGTATTTTGTAGATCTCTGATGTGTTTGAAGATGACCTGTCTTTCTAAAACATCTCTATTTGACCTTGAAAAAATAACTATCGTGACTACAAGTTTGATTGTAATAGGTGACTGATTACTAACCGATTATCTTATACAATTGGTAATAGTAACTTTCAAGGACTAGAAATTTGCATTACATTTTTTTTTTTCGAGACAGGGTTTCTCTGTATTGTTTTGGAGGCTGTCCTGTAACTCGCTCTGTAGACCAGGCTGGTCTTGAACTCACAGAGATCCACCTGCCTCTGCCTCCCGAGTGCTGGGATTAAAGGCATGCGCCACCAATGCCCGGCCTTGCATTACATTGTTAAGTGAGCTATATCGGTACAATACCTTGGACAACATTAGAAACATAGGTACAGTATGTTTTAACCAATTAATTTCAAATTTATCAATATACAATATACAAAAGTCTAATCCAATGTAGTTGCTTTTTAAGAGCAGATTCAATAATCTACCGTTTTATCTTATATATATCCTCCATTTTTCTTTTCAGAGTAGATTAAATAATGTACACTTTTATCCTATCATATCTGTATCCTTTTTTGTTCTTTTCAAAGTAAAAATCCTTGAATCTAATCCCCTATGTTCAATTTTCTTCCTGACTGTAACAAACACCATTTTGTAACCAATCCCCCTAAACAATGACAAAATCCATAACCCAATGAGTGACCAAAAACCACTAACCTCCGCTCTTGGGAATGTGGGCATTGTGTTCTTAAAGTTACTTTCTGCTGTCTGGGGGTGCTGGCATTTTTAGGGTATCCTGAAAAAAAAATTGGGTTAACTATCAAGTTGTATCAACTTCCAAAACTCTAGAAATGACAGAGCTATCTGGCTGCCTGGACAATCAGTCATTGAAAGGTCTTCTGTAACATTGGGGCATCCATCTTCAGCCTATAGGCCCATAGTATCTGGCAGATATAGGGGTAAAAGCTGAAAGGTCAGAGAGATGAAGGAGCAAGCTACAGCTACAACTTACCTCGCCAACTTCCAAGCTGAAAAGAGAGTGAGTTCCTGTTTCCTCCCACCTATAATCCTTTCTCCTCCCAGCTATTTCTTTTCCTGTCTCCACCAAGCCATCTCACTTCCTGTTTGCTAGCTAGTAGCAATTCCCGCCCTCTGATCCTCAGACACACTTTATTTTTACAAACAAGATATCACCACAGATCAACATTTACTTTACTGATGTTCTTGAGAACTAATTGATCTGTCAGTTATCTCAAAAATGCTTTCCTTCCTGGGAATTATTAGCCTTACATTTCAATAGGGGTCACTCCAGTTAATGATAAACAAGTATAGAACTGAAGAGATTGTTTAACTCTATGGAGGAATTTTGAGTAAGTCCTGAGTGCTTTCTATTTTTTTTTTTTTTGTTTGTTTGTTTGAGACAGGGTCTCAGTATGTACCTTTGGCTGTTCTGGAAATCACTACATAGACCAGGGTGGCTTAGAAATCAGAGTTTCACTTTGCCACCTGACGTTTGGGATTAGAGATGTGTACCACTATTCCCATAATTTCTATCCATTTTTGAAGTTAATAATTTTGAAAAGATTTTGCTGAAGTATACTAAATAGTGTTAATATGTTTGCATATCTCTGTATATATTACTTGGCATTTCTCCTGACAAGCCATATTCTATTAAGTGGGCAGAGGAATGGAAGGTGTCATTCTCTTTTCTGTTTCCTTTTACAATGAGTTGATGACTACATTTGAGATTTCCTGACACATGTGTCGTTTTTGGTTGTTATTTTTTACTTTTTTGGCTCTTTTATTTTGTTGGGGGCCTGCCACCCAGATCCCAAATAGATCACACATGGAATCTTATTCTTTTTTATGAATATCCCACCTTAGTTTGGCTTGTTTCTAGCTAGTTTTTCTTAGCTTATTTATTCTGACTACCTTTTGCCTCTGGGCACTTTCCTTTTCTTACTTCTGCATATCCTATTTTCACACTTACTCTGTGGCTGGCTGGATGGCTGGGCAGCTGGCCCCTGATGTCCTCCTTCTCCTTTTCTCATTCATTTTTTTCTCCTTTTCTCCTCCTGTTTACTACTTGTTGCCTGCCATCTCTACCTCTTTTTTTTTTGCCTCACTATTGGCTGTTCAGATCTTTATTAGACCACCAGGTGTTTTAGACAGGCGAAGAATCATAGCTTCACAGAGTTAAACAAATGTAGCATAAACAAAAGTAACAACACACCTTAAAATAATTTAAAATAATAAAACACCCATGTCATAGAATGTATCAATCACACTGAGTTATGTAAATATAATCTCAGTGAAGTGTACATCTGCATGTCAGTCAGTCTCACCATTTCAATTATGAACATATGGGCATTTTAGGATGCAGTGACCTGTGAGGATGTGCATGTGAACTTCACTCATGACGAGTGGGCACTGCTGGATCCTTCCCAGAAGAGTCTCTACAAAGATGTGATGCTGGAGACATACTGGAACCTCACTTCCATAGGTGAGAATGTGAGCTTTCTGTCACCTTTTAACTTAAGGGGACACGCTTTTCTTGGACATTGGTGCTCTTCTGTGATCTTGAATATGAAAGGGGAAGAATCTGGTGAACAAATCAGGAATGGTTAGATTCATGAGAGACAGTAATTTCAATTGTGTCTAATTTCCAGTAATATGTCACATACATTTTTGTGGTGCTGTATTTTAGGCTACAAATGGGAAGACCATAATATTGAAGAACATTGTCAGAGGTCCAGAAGAAATGGAAGGTAATTTTCATGTGTGAGCTGATACATATGTATGTCTGAAGAAATGTTAAATGTACCCTCAACTTTGAATGAAAATCAATGGTGTAAATAAGCATAGGTTTGTGATAATTATTAAATTCTCACAGTACCATGTACTTCAATGTCAGGTAGCTGATCACCATTTGTAAAGCATTCCTGTAAGGACAAGACAAGGAAACAATGCCATAATAGATGTCACAATTTTAATCATAGCCATGTGAGACACATGTTGTAGAACTATCCATCCACTTAGAGTCATGCCATTCAATTATCATGTAAGGTGTACACATTGATGAGGTGATTGCTGTATGTCCAAGACCGTTTATAAGCAAATATTCCATATTAAAGCTAGTGTTCCTCATACACTTGTAGTGAGTGACTTACCATCGTTTAGTGAGAGGAGCACTTTATGAGAGACAACATGGTGTAGAAACCTGTGGTATACCACATCTGTATGAGACACGAAATGTTTGACTGTGTGAATGCAATGTGAAACCTTTTATTTGTTATTTTGCTCTACCAGGTATGTCATCTGTCACTCTGGATACAAGCCCTGTGAGCATAAGGAATATGGAAAGAAGCATTGGACTTCAGTCTCTCTCAGGAAAAATGGGAGATGTGTAGTAGTCCCCACCATGAGAAGACATGATGACTGTGATACAAGTTTACAAGTAATTGGTTTTACAACTTCTGTGGGAATACATCAAGAAGCTCTCACAGGAGAAAAACCTTATGAGTACCAGGAATATGGAAATTCATCTCTCTGTACTGGTTCACAGTGCACATGTAGTTTGACTCACAGTATAAGAAAATGTTGTGATTGTAATCAGTGTGGTCAAACTCTGAGTTCTTCAAGTTCTCTTCAAAGATGTGAAAGAACTCACGTGGGCAGAGAAAATAGTAAATGGGAGCCATATACTAAAGGCTTTAGCCATTACAGGCATCTTCAAATAGACAAAACAGCCAGTAAAGAAGAGGATCTCTATGAAGCCTTTGGATCTGATTCCTCTTTGAAAGTACACCAAAGAACTCATTTGGAAAGAAAACCCCATGAGTATAATCAAAGTTATAAAGCCTTTGCGTGTCCCACTTATCTTCAAATATATAATAGACGTTATACTGGAGAGAAACCCTATGAATGTAATCAATGTGGTAAAGCCTTTGCACATAAAAGTCATCTTCTCACTCATCTAAGAAGTCATACTGGAGAGAAACCCTATGACTGTAATCAATGTGGTAAAGCCTTTTCACTGAAGAAGAACCTTCTCTGTCATCAAAGAAGTCACACTGGAGAGAAACCCTATGCATGTAATCAATGTGGTAAAGCCTTTGCAGAGAAGTATAAGCTTCTCAGTCATGAAAGAATTCATACTGGAGAGAAACCCTATGCATGTAATCAATGTGGTAAAGCCTTTGCAAGGAAGAGTAATCTTCTCAGTCATGAGAGAATTCATACTGGAGAGAAACCTTATGAATGTAATCAATGTGGTAAAGCCTTTGCACAGAAGAGTCATCTTCTCAGTCATGAAAGAAATCATAGTGGAGAGAAACCCTATGAATGTAATGAATGTGGTAAAACATTTGCACAGAAGAGTAATCTGCACAGTCATGAAAGAAGTCATAGTGGAGAGAAACCCTATGCATGTAATCAATGCAGTAAAACCTTTGCACAGAAGAGTAGTCTTCAAAGTCATGAAAGAATTCACACTGGAGAGAAACCCTATGCATGTAATCAATGTGGTAAAGCCTTTGTTCAGAAGAGTAGTCTTCACAGGCATGAAATAATTCATACTGATAAGAAACCCTATGAATGTAATCAGTGTGGTAAAGCCTTTGCAGCAAAGAAGAATCTTCTAGGTCATGAAAGAAATCATACTGGAGAGAGACCTTATGAATGCAATCAATGTGCTAAATCCTTTGCACTGAAGAAGTATCTTCTCAGCCATAAGAGAATTCATACTGGAGAGAAACCTTATGAATGTAATCAGTGTGGTAAAGCCTTTGCAACAAAGAGTCATCTTCTTAGTCATAAACGAATTCATACTAGACAGTACCATATGGATGTAATTAATGTTGTAATTTCAGAAATGAGCTGCCACGTGGGTGCTGGAAACTGAACTGTGTTTTCTACTAGAGGTACTTGCTGGATTCCAGGTTCATGGGGTTCAGGTCCCAAAGAAGAAATTAGGTGTCAGCAAAGGAAGGACCTGCCATATCTGAGAGTGAATCAGGATAGCTGTTGCTTTGTTGAAACAAGACCACCTTTTTTATACTCTATAACTGACCATTAGTGTTGCTGGAGTTTTTCTTTCCAGCCTGGTCCTACCGCCCTTTTAGCCTCAAATAAGCGCACAGATGCTATATTAGTTACAAAACCATTGGCTAATGGCTAGGACTTCTTATTGGCTAGCTCTGTCTTAATTATTAACCAATAACTACTAATTTATGTATTTCTTCATGGCCTTATCTTACCAGAGAATGCCTGGCACATCCTATCCTCCCTGTCTCTACATAGTGTCTCTTTGTGGTCTCTCTCTTTGCCTACCTTTCCCAGAATTCTTGTCTCCTAGTCTCACCTATCTTTCTGCCTCTATTGGTCAAATGGTGTTTTATTCATCAACCAATAAGAGAAACATATATACAGAAGGACATGCCCCATCACATTAGTTTAGACTTAAGCAAAATTGAAAGCAGGCTTAATGATTCCAGGATGAAAGCAGCTGTCAAATTCATCACAACATTTTTCCTGAGGCAAAAAGTGATAAATTTAGCAAGTATCTAAATGCCTCTCTGGATGTGAGCCCATTGTTTCCTTTCATAGTGTGCTTTCCTCCTTGGGACCAAGTGTGTCCAGTTAGTAAATCTTTAATATCTTTATTTTTGGTGTAACCAGGACACAATGGGGATTCTTGTTTGGGAGTAGGCATGGCTATCACATTATGTGTTTCCATGGTGGTGGGCATTTCCCCCCAAGAATTTTGATGAAAGCGACTGCCATTGTATACATCCGCATCCTCCACTGAAGCTTGCAAAAAATTTTCCCACAGGAAAAGGCATAAGGAAACTTTATAACATATAGTGTGTGGTAAGTATTGGATCCCCAGTTATTTGGTATCTTTTACTGATACTATAAGCCAAATTAATAAGACCAGATTTAATAAACAGCAAAGCACAGCAGAGAATTCCCCTGGTGACTCTCAGAAAGGCAGGAGAGGAATCGTGGCAGGTCTGGCACCAGGTCTTAAAAACCCTGTAGGCATGGTCTTGAGCAACTTCAGGGTAGGAGCAGACCCTTGGTGAGCTTTCTTAGGGGAGATATCCCAGACTCTTTGGGTATGTGGGTGCTGGGTCAAGAAAGAAGGCAGAGTAGAGAGAGATGCCATCAGCTGCCAGAGGAGTAAGATGCCAGAGCATTACTGGTAAGCCATGGGCCACGTGTTACACAGGTTAATAGAAATGGGTTAACTTGTATGTAAGAGCTAACTAGTAATAAGCCTTGAGCCATCAGCTAAACGATTATAATATAATCCTCTGAATGATTATTTTATAAGCAGCTGTGGGACTGGCAGGCGTGACTGAAAAGCTCCAGCTATATCCATTTTCTCCTTTAATCATGTGGATCCCAAAGATGGATATCAGGAAGAAAAATAGGCTTGGCAGCAAGTGTCTTTACCACTTACTGGTCCCTAGGTATATCGTTTGTGTATGCTGTTTGTGTGAATGTGCACACATGTGTGGAGGTCCCAGTCAAAGTTGGTCATCCCATAAATTGATATTATAATCCAAATTGACTTTATGGGTTATTGGGCATGGCAAAGAAGCTCCAGACTCCACTGTTCCTCAAAATGTACCAGCAGACACCCTAAGAAGAGGGGAGTCATGGTGGCTTTCTATGAAGGGGCAAATAGACAAAGTAATTTGCTGACCTGTCAGCCAGCCAGTGTCTGTGGGCTGTGAGGAGACAGGGCTGTGAGTCTTTAAAACAATCTGTGTTCTTCATTGCTGCAAAAAAAAAATCAACATGAATTCATGGCTGTATTACTCACATGCTGCTTTAATTTTCTTGTCCTTCTGGCCCTATACACTCGACCCATTTTGCACATTGTTTTACCTGAGATCAAGTTCGAATCCTTAGAAGCTAAATATTTCCCTCCTGGATGACAAGATTTGATGAACATCAAGATATGATCTGGAATCTTTTCAGGGGTCACTAATTCTTTCTGTGGATTTTTTCTTTCCCAAATATTTAAAAATATAAGGACCCTTTTCAGCACCAGGGGTATACAAAAACAAGTTCTTGAGTCAGGTCAACTCCTATCCTGAATCTGAATCCCTGTACCAAGTTGCCCAGTGAAGAGGTCGCTGGTTTCTCCTTGGCTCAGGGTCACCGCTCATGAAGCTCCTGCCACTTATGCTAAAGGAGGCTTTGAAGGTGCAGCAGGCTATATGGGTTAGCTCCAAGGAAGAGGAGGTGCTGAGATGCCAAGTGACAGTCTTGCTGCAGAGAATGGAGCTACTACTGGCTCTATGGAGCATGTTCTGGTGATGGGACAGAGCTGTTGCTGTACAGAGAGGGATAGCTTGCTGAATTCAGCCTTGCCACAGTCCTCAGGGACATGTCGTACTTCAGCCATCTATGACCACTGAAGGTGGGGTATTGATTCAGGTGCAGAGGTTGCTATAGATGCAGTTGATGCAGGCCCAGGGCTGTTGAGGACACAGCACAGCCGTTCAGTCTTCATCATTTGCCTCTGCAAGCTTAAGCTTCAGGAACCACCCTCCCTAGCCTGCAGGGACTCATCATGCACTGGGAGACCAGCCTGGAACCTTCCCAATGGTGACCAGCTGACTCCCTAAACAACTTCCAATATGTTGCTTGTTTGCACTTATGTTTACTCAATGTTACTTCCTTGGGTCTCTGAGCAAGTTGAAGACTAGATAGTTCTAGGCAGTCTTCATGCTGCCAGGGAATGATTGGACCAAACTGATATTGAGGCCTCCAGCAGGCCTGCTCAAGGCATTTTTCAATGACAAAGTGTTACCTTGTCTGTCCTCTGATGATCTGTGTTCATCAGTCTGAGGCCAGCCTTTGCCACATCTTCTGCATACTCCAGAAGGCTAGGACCTACGTTTTGAATTATCTCTAGAAAAAACCATGGGCTTTTCTATGCAGGGGCATTATCCCTGAGACACAGCATTCCCTGAATTCTTTAAGTATTACATTGCACTCTTGTTTATTGCCGTAACGGAGCTTTGGGTTCAGAAGCTCAAACTGTCTTCTCAACCCATCTGCCCCATTCTTGCCATCACTCCGTGTTCCACACTGGTTATGTTTCCCTTTCGCAGTGAGCTTATACTCCTGGATGGATCCTTGTGATGATGATAGCATATTGGAAGTTTTTTTAAACATTCAATATTTTTATTCTGAAACAAATTCATTTTCCTTCCAGTAATTATTGAAGCCACTGCACATGTTCCTTCACACAATAATACCTCCATAGCAGCTAACATTAAAAAATTATTCATTGAAATTTCATTTTCCATTCCAACCACAGTTATCCCTCCCACCCCTCCTCCTGCCCCTTGCCTTCTCCCATCCCAACCCTAGTACACTTCCCCTCTGGTTAGGGCTCCATGAAGAGTCGACAAAGTCTGACACAATAGGTTGGGGCAGGGCCAAGCCACTCTCTCATACATTAAGGCTGAGCATGTTTTCCCACCATAAATTATATATATATACATATATATATTATTATTTTTTTCGAGACAGTGTTTCTCTGTGGCTTTGGAGGCTGTCCTGGAACTTGCTCTGTAGACCAGGCTGGCCTCGAACTCACAGAGATCCGCCTGTCTATGCCTCCCGAGTGCTGGGATTAAAGGTGTGCACCACCAACGCCCGGCTTAAATTTTATATTTTTAAAAGTCTTATTTTACATACCAATGCCAGTTCCCTCTCCCTCCCATCCTCCCCACCCAACCTCCATCCATTTTGTATCAATATACAAAATTTGTATATAATATGCAAAAATCCAATCCAATGCAAAATATTTAAAACTAGTATTTGCTTTTTAAAAGTAGATTCAGTAATTTACCTTTTTACCTAATAATACCTGTATTCCCCTTTTTTCTTTTCAGAGCAAGAACCCTTAATCTCTTTTGTTTAGCTTTTTTCCTGACCATTACCATTAACAACTTTAACCAATTCTCCTAAATAATGACAGATATCTATAACCTATTGAACCCACTCCACCTCTTGGGAATGTGGACATCATGCTCTTAAATTTACTTCCTGCTCCCTGGGGGTGACAGCCTCTTTAGGGAGATTCTGAAAAAAAGTTTGGGTTAATTGTCGAGTCCCAGGCAAGGTAGCTATATCATTTGTTGTCCAGGCTCTGTGTAATGGGAAAGTGTAGGACTTGTCTAAAGTCCTGATTAGAGTAATTTGTGAGGCTACATCATCTCAGCTAGCCACCTCAAAATTGCTCTGAGCGGTTTGTAGACCAGAGCTGATCTTTAGGTGATGTTTGGCAGCTTAGTGTTGTTATCATAGTCCTGGTGGAATTGTCGTTGTGGGGTTCCATCCTCCTTTGGAGACGTCAGTTAGGCGTGTTCATGGTGCACTGCAGAAAACTGATAGAGACTCATACCCAAAATCATGAACAGGAAGGTAGAAGAAACCTTTTTCTAGAGTTGGTAATGTGTATTGGAGTTCTTGCCATTTGCTCTCGTTGCTTCACTGGCAGTAGGTCTTAAGTGTGTTTGTTCTTACTTTTCCTTCTCCTCGAATGTGATGGAGGGTAGGACTAGGTCTGGGGTCCTGAGCCCAGCTCACTCTCTTCCTCCCAGTCGGGTCACAGAGAGCAGCCTGCGTGGATCCTTGGGGCGGAAACTTGTATAGGTCATCTGTTTCTCGTGTAAGTGCCTTCTCCCTGAATAAAATTATATTAATCTATATTGATCCATGAATCTTGATCTGTGCATCATCATTCATGTGTGTGTGTGTGTCTTATAAATTTTTTAATAATATACCTCAAGAAAATCTTCAATGAGTCAAAGTAAAACGAAAGGATTATGAGATTAGTGGCAATGCAATAATCCCTTAATTTTTTTCTTCTGTCCTGTATCAGGTGGCTCTTCTGACACAAGACAGAGATTTTGGGTATAGAGAAGGAGAGAGCCATACTCCAACTCCAAAGCCAGCCTAAATATTTAATTGGACTGGAACTATAAAAGACTGTTTGTATAATATGTCTTTAGAGAAAAGCAGAAACAAACATTTGAGAAGATTTATGAAATTGTATCCTGTTGGAAAGGTGATATACCAATAGGCCAATTTACTCTTTTTCTTGGAACATTCTTTTTGGATGGTTTATCCTTTTTCTTCACATGTCTCATTTGTGCAGTGGTCTTCAGATTCCTTAGCTGGAAGCCTTTGTTCTCCTGAACAGACAAAAACAAAACCCTTCCCCAACCCTAATTTTGGTGAGGTTCTTTTTTTGACAAGTTATATCTTATCAAATGGAAAACATTTGTTAGTTTTATAGGTTAGCTTAGATTAAACAGCCATGCTGCTTGATGAACTTTCATGTCTTCTAATGAAGAGATCTCTCCTGTTCAAATAGAATCTTTATCAATTTTGATGGTATACATAGTTTTTTTTTCATCTGTGGACACAAAAGCAAAACGTCTTCCCCAATGTAGCACATGTCCTGGTTTCCATTCTTAAGTCAATAAATCTTTAAAGTATACTGATTGATTTAATTCTGTGTTTTTTTCTATTATCCAATGTCTCTCTGAAGCTGTTGTTCCTTTCTCATTAGCATTTATAAAATTCAAAGTTAATAAAGCATTATACAATCTATTTCTGGGGTCTTTATCATCCCTTTCTGTTGTTCAGCATATCCTTTAGAATTTGACTTGATTGTTCTATAACTGCCTGCTCTGTAGGATTGTGTGGTGTACCTGTAATACACTATATTATAATAAGCAAAAACCTGCTTTATTTTCTTAGAGATATATGCTGGAACATTGCCTGTCTTAATTTGTACAGGTATACCCATGACAGCCATAACTTCTAGCAAATGTGTAATCACTGCATCAGCCTTTTCTGAACTCAAAGCAGTTGCCCATTTAAACCTTAATAGGTATCAATGGTATGGTGTACGTATTTTAATTTCCCAAATTCTACAGTGACTTTTCCATCACATGGCAAGAAGCCAAGGAAATTATAAAGAAATGTCTTACTTGTTCTTTATACAGCCAAACTCCACTACCTGCAAGAAGTACCCCAAAGGGTGCTTGAAGGAATGAAACCTGGCAGATGGGTGTGCCCACAGCCTGAGACCTCTGAGTTCCAGGCAGACCCTGAGTGAGGGTGAGTCCCATACGTACATGGCTGACCTGGAAGCTGGAAGGATCCAGGGTCCATGCTGCGTGCCCTGACATAATGTGTCTAGCAGAAAATTTTCTCTCCATTTGCAAAAAGCTATTTGATAGGGAGCCCACCTCCGGGGTGGGGAATTCAGGTTCAAAAGAGGAGGTGTGGAGTTGGAGAGGAAGGAGACTGACAGAATCTGAGGGTGAATCAGGACGGCTGCTGCTTTATAACAGAAGGCTACACCCTTTATATTCTACAGTTGCACAAAGGAGTAAATGGGGATGAGGAAAAGGGGGGCTGTGAGCTGGGGTGGGGCTTGTGAGCAGTGATTGAGGGCGCTGGCACTGACAAGTTAACAGACACTGCAGGCTCATGTTAATGGAGGGACCACAAGCTCCTCTTTCCAGAGATAAGGAGAATGACTTCCTTTTTAGCAAGCAGAAACCTTCTCAAGGCCCTTGGGGAAATGTGTGGGGGTGAGAGAAAAGAGCTTTCATGGGGGACTAGACATTCCATTACAGAATATCATTTAGTTTGTTCTAATAGCTAGAGCTTAATGTTAGCAAAGACAAAGCTAGACAAATATTACTCTTTTTTTTTTCGAGACAGGGTTTCTCTGCATTATTTTGGAGGCTGTCCTTGAAACTCACTCTGTAGATCAGGCTGGCCTCGAACTCACAGAGATCCGCCTGTCTCTGCCTCTCGAGTTCTGGGATTAAAAGCGTGCACCACCAATATTACCCTGAACCAGAGTAGACCTTGGGAATTAATAAATCTTAATTATCAAATATACCCTATTTGTCAAACAAATCTTATTTTCCAATAGACCTTATTTATCAAGCACATGTTACTTATATATATTTTCTAGCATCTTGGTGTTAATTTGATGGGAGTAGGCAGAGTTATCAAGCTATATGGTTCCACAGTCTAAGGGAATTTTTCCAAAGATTTATTTTGTTTAAAGAGGGGCCCATCATATATGTCTTCATCCTCTGCTGAGTCCCCCACAAGATTTCCCAAAGGAAGGCATAAGAGAACTCCCACCACACAGAGTGAGAATCATTAAAAATGAAAGTCAAAAGGTGCTGGGGAATTGTGATCCACAATGTGGAAATGCCAGAACTCTGTAGCAACAGGTGGATGAGGTCTGCTCCACAGATAGCAGAAAGGTCACCAGGTCATTAACAAAGTCCACCCTCAGCCTTCTGGGTGGAATTGGGGATATTTGGTTAGTATCTCTTCCATTGAGCAGAGTGGGTGATTAAATTCCTGGTTCTCTTACTGCTTCTCTGTGAGTACCAGGACCTCTGTGCTCCCCACATCCAGCCATTCTGTAATCAGGATTAGCACGTGACTCCACCTGCTGTTTTCCGTGTCCAGGTAGAAATGAGGAGCCCTGGGAAACTACATTACCCGAGCCAGAAATCACAGAGTGAGGCAGACTGAGCACGCCAGTCACGAGTGAGTGTGGCTTTCAAGAATGCTCAGTGGAAGGCCTGCAGGCAGGACACAGGACAACATTCCTCCCAAAGCAGGGGAGCATCAGTGAAGCCGTGGGCGGGGATTCTTCATCCCATTGCCACTGCTGCTGGCTGCTGCTTCAGCACCGTCACAGATTCCAGACGGGGATGTCACAAAGTGGACTGTGGACTTGGGGGCGAAGACCAGGGGTGCCATAGACCCATGTGGACTCCAGGACGAAGACTGACACTGGGTGTCAAGGGCGGCACACGCTTTGCCATTGCTCTTTTGAGATAGGGTCTCACTTACAGCCTGTGCTGTTAAATATGGAAAAAGGACCAGCGCGATGCATGGAGCACAAGCCACGGAGAGCGTATTAACCATAGTTTATTATAGCGAGATCAAAAGAGGGGGAGACAGACATTACAGAGAGAGAAGACAAGAGAGGATGAGATAGAGAGAAAGACAAGAGTAAGAGAGAGTGAGATGACGAGCGTAAGAGTAAGAGAGAGGAGAGTAAAAGAGAGTGACAACAGTAAGAGAGACGAAAGTAAGAGAGAGTGAGGTGATGAGAGTAAGAGACCAGTAGGAGAGAGTGTGAGCGGGCAGGGGCCAGTCCTTTAAAGGGGTCCTTAGCACCTGCGTGGTTCTCACGGAACTCTGGGCTGGTCAGAGTGCTGCCTGAGTGCATCCTGCCAGGTAACAGGGCAGGCCAGCGCAATGCCTGAACCTTTCAGCCCATGCTTGCCTAAATTCACAGTGGTCTTCCTGGACAGAGTGCAATGGTGTGCCATGCCTAACTCTGCTTGTTTCATCAGTAAATATGCAGAATCAATAGATGTCAGACATGGTGGTGCCGGCCTGTAATCTCAGCTCTCTGCAGCAGAGGCAAACTGATCCTCATGACTTTTAGGCTAGCCTGGTCTGCATAGTGAGTTCCTGTCCAGCCAGGGCTGCAGAGAGACTCTGACAAAGACATTGCAGCAATAGGAACATGATGTAAAAGTACTCTTAATTTGGTTTACTTATTTTTGCCAATGATTCAGAATTGACAGAAGAACAATTCTGTAGACTCATATGCCAAGTGAGCAGTAAAATATGTATAATTTAGTCATCAGAGTATGAGGCTCAATAGTAAACATGGAGTGATAAGAAAAGAACTGACTGATCCCGTAGGGTTTAATTCTCTAAATCCTGTGTTTATATTGCCGGGTCTTTTCTATAGAATAACAGTTTAAGAGAGTGCATATTAGTGCATACTTTTTTAAATCAAACTTTCTTTTTACAAAGATGAAAATCATAGCATGTTTTCCAGAGCTGGCCTGAGGTACTGCTAGCCCAGAAAGTGGCTGGTTTCCTTTGTCCTTTCTCAGTTTCATAGCAAAAGCTCACTAATGCCCGAGAAAGGAGTCCTACTCAGTGCAGGCAGAGTTCATGGAAGACGTCACAGTCCAGTCCCAAGCTCTGCCCCAATCCCAATCTCTCCAGGTCTGGGGCAGCTTGGTACCTGGAGAGTGGAAGCCAGGGCTGGAAACCACTGGATCCATTCGCACATCTGCCCTCAGGGAGGCGTTGCTATCGCTCCGGCCTCGGTAACCAATCAGGGCCTCCAGATGGACTGCCAGTCAGAATGGAGGCGGGCACTTCCGGTCCACCAAGCTGAAGGCGTGGGCGACCGAGACGGGAGGAGGCCGCGCTGTTGCGTGTGCTGAGCTGTGAGCCGGTCCCGGGGGCTGTGAGGAGAGCGCGGCGAGCGCGGAAGCCGCCATGGTGAGCGAGCAGCCGCCGTCCGCACTCGAGGAGCCGCGGGCGCCGGCGTGGGTCCTCCCGGGGCCGTGGGAACCCGCGGCGGCCGGAGCGGCGACTCCACTTGGTCCCCTGAGGTCCCTCCAGCTCCCAGGCTGCCGCGGGGCCCCTGGATGACTTTGCTTGACGGCCCGCACAGCCTTTGTGTGGAAATATCTCTGTGTATATCATACTGTGGACATGCCCGGCAGTGTGAGCATAGTGACTGTCCTGTCGTGGGTGTATTTTTTCAGTTAATGGAACTGCTACAGCTCCCACATCCCTGGTTTCATCTTTCATCTCTTGACAGTCATGGCCAAGCACCTGTGTCATCATACAAGGGGGTAGCCTCAACCATGTGGTGCTGTGCTGTGATTATAAGAGCTTGACCCAGAGTTAACTTTTTTTTTTTTTCATTAAACTGGTATTAGCCTCCATTGCTCTTAGACAGATGGGCCCACCTATGACTACAGGGTCCAGTCATTTGGACACTACATTACAGGCCACACTTCCCCTCCTCATGGAGACCAGCAATGAATGAGAGCAGGAGTCAAGCAACACTACAAGGACGTGCTTGTGCTCCTGGACTGGGTCAAGTGGAGGGGGTTTTCATCTTTGGATGACCTGGTAGAGCCAAAAGACTTCAGTTCCCCAACAGGAGGGAGCACAGGTCTTTACCTGGGTGGAGGAGGGTTTCACAGCAGAGAAAGTCACGGGTCAATACAGGGAAACAAAACTGATAGAAACACATAGAAAGACATGTAGAGACACATACACAGAGACAGGAAAAGTAACAAGAGTGGCCATCACATATTCATACACCTGAATAGATAGAGGGATCCAGTGACATGTCACATGGTTCCCAGACACTCAATCAGCAGCCATGTCTGTCCTCTTCTATGTGTCCAAACAGAAAGTGCCACAGCCAGACTTATTACTTCCAGAGGTGACACAGAGGTGACTTTCTAATTTGTTTCCTTTTGGGGTGGAGATTTCAGCCCCCTGTGAAGTGTTAGGCAGTGATTGGTCAAAGGGAGCCCTGGTGTGGTGGTATGAAAAGGAATGGCCCCATAGACTTACATATCGGAATGTTTGGCCCATCTTAGCATCATTATTAGGAAGTGTGGCCTCCTTGGAATAGGTGTGGCCTTGTTGGATAATGTGTCAATATGGAGGTGGGCTTTGAGGTCTCTTAAGCTCAAGCTAGGCCCAGTGTGTCTCAGTGTTCTGGTGCTTGTGGATCAAGATGTAGAATTTGCAGCTCCTTCTCCAGCACCGTGTCTGCCTGCATGGGGCCATGCTTATCCCCTTGACACTAATGGACTATATGTCTAACATTTAAGTCAGCCCTAATTACATGTTTTTCTTTGTTAGAGCTGCCATGGTCATGCTGACTCCTAACAGCAATAAACACTAAGAAAGGCATTGTGAATCGCCTGGCCATTTTATTTTGTTAGGTAGAATTGAACGTTGGGGCTTTGGGTAAGGAAAGCAGGTGTAATGCTTTAAGTGGTGCTTAAATGGGCCATACTAGTTAGAGCATGGAAGACAGTGGTGCTGAGGGTTATTGGAACTATGGGGGCCTAGCTCAAGAGATTTTAGATGAGAAGAATGTTAGTGCATTGCTTAGAGATTGTTCTTGTGATATTTTAGTGAAGAATGTGCCTGCTTTTTGCACTTGTCCAAAGAGTTGGCCTGAGGCTAAAGTGAAGAGTTTTGTAATAATTCATTTGGCAGAGGAAATCCCAAAACAGACTAGTATAGACTCTGTTGTGTCATTATTGGTCTTCCCCCTTTGAAGAGGAACAAACTGAGCATGTAAAAATACCCAGTGTACAGATTGAGGAGAACAGGGGCACCAGGAACCTGAATGGAGCTGTAAGTCCTGTGTTCAAGAAGATAAACAGATTTAGAAATGGAATAAAGAGAATGGTAACCTATGGGTAAGATCACACCCAGCTAGACTTCCAATTTGTGAAAAGGTAATAGAATTGGTGAGGTTCAGGCATGGTGGTGCATGCCTTTAATGCCAGTACTCAGAAGGCAGAAACTGGTGTATCTGTAAGTTTAAGGCCAGCCTGGTCTACAGATCCAGTTCCAGACATCAAAGCTTGGGTAGTGGAGGAAACCTTTGAAAACAGAAAGCTAGCTAAGATGTAATCCAAGGGGTCATTGTTCCAACCCCAGCAAACAGTAGAACTTAGCCGCTTCGGTCCCATGGTTTTGGCTTTGGAGTCAAAGATAGAAGAAAAGGATTATAGAATCTCCCTCTATTTCTAGGGAATGCTGCTGAGGCCAGGCATGTGTCAGTGGTGTCCCTGAATGTAAGTCTAGAGGGGTCATTGCATGAAGCAATACAGGCGAAGCCTGGATTGCCTTGGAGACCCCAAAATGCTAGGGAGTGGAACCAACCCAAGAGAAAGAAGCGTGTTGCAGTCACCAAAGCTGAAAGGAGTGGAGATCTGAAGAGCATTTTGACATCAGACATGGAATGCAGAGTTTGGACTTTCCCCGGCTGGTTTTCAGTCTTGCTTTGTTCCATCATTTCCTAATTCTGCTCCCCTTCCTGCATTTTGGAATGATAGTGTGTATATCCTGTGCCATTTTATGTTGGAGTATATGATCTACTTTTTAATTTTGATTTTACAAGGGATTATAGTTAAGACATCCATGAATTTCAGAAGAGACTTTGAATTTTTAAATAAGTTTGAGACTGTTATAGACTATGGGGACTTTGGTGCATTATGGTATGGCTATAAACATATGAGAGCCAGGGCTTGTGTTAGTTTGAATAGGATTGTCTCTCATAGACTGGTGTCTTTGAATGCTTGGCCCATAAGTAATGGCACTAGAAGAGGTGTGGCCTTGTTGGAGTAAGCGTGTCACTGTGAAGGTGAACTTCAAGGTCTGAGTGTCTCAGTGTCCTGCGGCTGCCTTTGAACCAAGATAATAGAGCTCTCAGCTCCTCCTACACCATTGCGTGACACCAGGCTTCTTGCTCTGATAATAATGGACCAACCCTCTGAAATGTAAGCCAGCCTCAATGAACTGATTTTTTTTTTCCTGCTGAGCAGTAAAAATCCTAACTAAGACTCCGGGGACCTGGAATATTTCAGGTTGTGACCCCCTAGCAGTCCCCAAACCCCTGGTGTCCTGACGTTTGGTTTCTGGAAACTCACTGAGACCTCAAGAAATGTGGGTATTCACCACAGAGGACTACTAGGGCATGGGTTTAAGCTTGGGACTATTGGGACTACTCTGGTTTTGGGGTCTGAGTACACTATCAAGTCTTTCTCAGCATGAGTGCTTCTGGGTTGACATCAGTTAACAGGAACAGTTAGCCAGGAACACAACTAAAGCTCAAAGCAAGGTTAGTACATTTACAGACTTCCCAATAACTATGAACTTCAATGGATTAGAACTTTGTTTCTCCTTTTTGGCAGGTGGTGCTGCATATGTGCTGAGTTTTACAGCCTGAATGGCACTTCCATGATGGAGTCAGTTATGTTAAGGTCTGGGCCCTATTACATTGCTAGATTAAGCAACATTTTTCTTGTGTTTGAGTGAAATGTAAATGTCTGATAGGTCCATTTGGGTTATAATATCTCTTAGCTCCAGTATTTCTCCATTTAGTTTTTGTCTGCGTGACCTGTCCATGGGTGAGAGTGGGGTATTGATGTCTCCCACTATTAGTGTGTTAGGGACCATATTCAACTTAAGCTTTAGTAGTCTTTCTTTTACAAAGGAGGCTGCCCTTGTGTTTGGTGAATAGATGTTAGAAATTAACACAACATCGTGCCAGATTTTTCCTCTAAATATGTAGTGTCCTTCCCATCTCTTTCAATTCATTAAGCTTATGGGCATACTAGATGAGAAATGAGGCCACATTAGTTATTTATTTCCCTGTGGGCTTCACACATGATAGACAGAAAATAGTCAGCCTCTGTATCAGCTTTTATATAGAATTTCCTTCACCTGTCATCCCAACACTTGAAAAGTTGAAGCAGGAGGATCACAATAAGATGTGTGATTTACTTGGGAGCTAGGTGGCAGGGCCCCCAAAAGAGAAAAAACGTTTTTACTACACCACTGAACCATCTCTCATCCCTTTTTATTTCTTTTAAGATTTAATTTATTATTGTCTTTTTGTCTGCACATGCATAGTACTGTTCATAATAAGATGACAGCATATGGGACCCAGTCCTCTCTACCATGAGGGTCTTAAGGACCAAACCACATCTATCAGGCTTGGCTACAAGCACCTATATCTTCTGAGCCATCCCCTGACATCTACTGAGCCATGATCTTTTTGTTAATCATTGTTGGTTTTCAAAACAGACTCTTGAGGTCCAGGCTGACCTTGAAATCATGACCTTGTTGAGTCCACCTCCAGCTACTGGGATGACAGGTTTCAATATCACGCCCTGTTTATGCAGAAGCCTGGTGCTCGCTGGGCTAGTACTCTTCCCAATGAGACTCATCTGAAATAAAAACATTGATATAACCCACTTGGTGATGATCACAGGTCCACACTGAGATCTTGTGTCAACAAACAAAAACCAAAGAAAATCCTGCAAGTAAATGTTTTTGTTAAGAGATTATGTATGTGTGTTGAGAGAGTCTTAGTTGCCTAGACTGTCCTTGAACTGACACTGTAGCCCTTGAGATCCTGACCCTCCTGCCTCAGCCTTCTAAGTACCTTCTAAGTATCTGCACCACCAAGTGAGGATGCCAGGGCACAAGACTATGTGTCCATGGTCACAGCTAGTAATCAGAGGTCCATGACAAGATCAGACTGTTCCTAGGGAAGGGTCTGAATCTAGAACCTTCCTTAAGATGGAATTCTATTAGTTCAGTGTGGAAGGATGGGAAGACCCATAGAATTCTATAATAATTGCTAGATCTCAAATTTTAACAAATGCTGAGGTTCTTATTAACATTTCAAAGCAGTATTTTTTTGTTTGCTCTGCCACCTACCAAATTTGGTTATAAATTCCATTTGTCTTTCAAAACAGGGTTTCTCTGTAAAAACCCTTGCTTTCTTTGAACTTGCTTTGTAGACCAGATTGGCCAAGAACTCACAGAGAACTTCCTGCTTTGAGTGTTGGGATTAAAAGGCAGTGTCCCCACAGTTCAGCTTTACTATGAATTCTATATTCTGAGTAATCACTGACTTCTCTCTACTTCCTCCACTCCATAAGTGTCTCAACCCTAGCCTGAACCCTCTACCCACTATGGGTGATTCGCTTGGGCACATATCTCACACCTACAGTCTCTGGCCTGTTATACCTGTCTGGGTTTCTCTCTATACCCACACAGATTTCTACTGAATACACCATCCCCCTTTCCAAAACGCTTCCACTACTCTTTTGCCTTCTCTTGATGGAGCCTCGTGAGGATTAAGAAGAGGCAGATAAAAGAAACAGAGACAGAAACACAGGATAGATTCGGGAAGACTGCCCAGTCCATGCTTTTCAGCACACCGACAGCCCCGAGTCTAATTTAGACCCTGCTTATATACAGACTAGAGGCAAAGCAGAAAAAAGAGCAGCATAATCAGTTAACCAGCTCCCTGTACTGTCCTTGAATCGAGGAGCAGCCAGGTTCACTATCTAAAATTAGGGTGCTACTAGCATCAGCTGGCATCAGTACTCATTAGAGAGAAAATATACTCTATCCTATGGGCTTAATCAGGGCTTTCCCATGGCTCTCAAGGAGACTGCAGCAAGCCAGCTTGAACTCTAATGTCTTACAAGTCAGAATAAACTTCAGATGGAAACTGAGTCACTTGTGGGCTCCCACATCCTCTCCTGGTTGAGTGTCAGTCTGGAGCTGCCCACTTTGTCTGTTATTACTACAAAAGCCACCAGTGGCCAGGGTGCCCCTCGCAAGCCACAGGGTTTCTGATCTCGTGGGAAGGGATGCCTTTGTGATTTATTGAAATTTTCTCAGATAAGTCTTTATTTCACTTAAGAGATACCCCAAGTTGAAATTCTTGTTACTATGACAATACATTTGCTTTTAGCTGCTCCTGCAATTCCAGAAATTCCTTGAGCCTGGCCAGGCCAATGTGACACTTTTCTTTTGTCTTCTTTTTCTAGGAGCTTCCTGAGTCCCATAGCTTCTCTAAACCCATTGGACTACCATAAAAATATATATGAAAAATATAATGTTTTCCATATTTTAAATCTTACACAAAACCCTTCCTGTAAGTGAAAATAACACAGTTTCTCCCATATTTACAGCAGGGTGAAAAACTGTATTTACCAGAAAACATGCTAGATTTGGTCTACAGGTTGTAAGCAGGTCAGTTGTACCTAAGGATAATGATTTACACTAGGCATAAGCAACCAAACTCTTGTGGTGCAGTGTATGTCTCCTGAGGCCTCATCAAGTACAACATATTGATTCCAAATATTTATTTTTCAGATCCAACTTTCCTAATCTTTTGCAATTTGTATCTGTAACTACATAATATACTCCTTGGGAAATGACAGTTTGATAGAATCACAGGTATGGAAAATACATTTCTAGTGGCTAATAGTCTAAATAGAGTAGTATTGAAAACAGTGTTCAAAATATTTCTTGCAAACACAAATGCCATTCTCCTCATATCCTGAGCTCTGTGTGTGATGTGTCCTGCAGCTCTGGTTTCAGGAAATTTCCTCAGAAGGGAGAGGCTGACTGCTGCTGTCCTTGTTCCGATAGTCCAGAGAAAGAGATTCCTAATGGAACTTATGAGTGAATGCCTCAGGAGACCACCCTCATATCGATTCCCCTGCTGCCCATGTTTGATGTTCAAGGGGCTAGTAGAGAAATGAAGCTATTGAATCCCTTTTATGTTAATTTATTCTTTAAATAGGTGTGATCACTAATTTTACCCTGGAAAGACAGCATCATCACCCTTAAACTCCGTTTTATTTCTCAGTTGGTAACTGTTTTCTCAAGGAAAACATTGAAGTATATTTTTATTGAAATTTATTTTTTCATTCAATGGATACCAATTATGTATTACCTCCATTTCCTCTTAGATCCTCCCCGACTCTCCAGCTACATGAGTTCCCATCCGTTTCTTTTGGCTCACTCATTTGAATACAAACATGCTTTTTAAAAATGTAAAATAAAAGAAGATAAAAGCCAGCAAAATCAAACAAGATGAAACAAACTAACAGAAGACAAATTGCCAAAGGATGGTCCATGGAATATACATAGACACGTAGACCTGCATGGAAATCCCATAAAAATACAACACCAGAAACTACAATGCTATGCAAAAGATCTGTGGGGAAAGAAAAAAGGGAGGAAAAAAATTCCAGACAAATCATAGTGATGAGACAAGGAAACTCCCGAAATGCCATGGAGCTTGTTTTGTGTTGGCCATTTACTGTGGGGCATGGGATCTTTCTTTAAGACTGGTTCTAATTTTTCCCTTGTTAATGATTATCACTTGAAGATAGCTGCTGGTTTAGGGTTGGTCAGTTGTATCCACTTTCCCTCTCAGGGTTGGGACCCTATCTGACTTCGGCCCGTTGCAGGCACTATTATGTGCTGACAGTGAGTTTATATGCTCACCAGTCCTGCTGTGTTTGGAAGGCAATATTGCCTTGTTGTTCCCTATTCCCCCACTGGCTCTTACAATATTTCTATTTGCTTTTCCACAGGGTTCTCTGAGCTCTGAAGGGATGGTTTGATGGAGACCTCCCATTTAGGATCAAGGTCTCTCACTTTGTGTGCATTTTCTTGTGGAATCCCCTTTGGCAGCAAAGGAACGTGCCTGTTCACTGTTCAACACTAGATGGAGCGAAAGATTGGTATATAATGTTATCTACTGAGAGTGGCATTACAGGTATTTTAATTTCTGTGAAAATAACAAATTTTCTTTTTCTTTTCTCATCTTAGCACATTTGTAATTTCCCTTACCAGAACTTGTTAGAGAATACTTGATTATGCTGAAGTCTGTACTGTTTTGCTGGGACTGGTGAATTAAACCATCCCATCCTATTGTTTGTTTGTTTGTTTTTTTTTTTCGGTTTTTTCGAGACAGGGTTTCTCTGTATTGTTTTAGAGGCTGTCCTGGAACTCACTCTGTAGACCAGGGTGGCCTCGAACTCACAGAGATCCGCCTGCCTCTGCCTCCCGAGTGCTGGGATTAAAGGCGTGCGCCACCAACGCCCGGCTCATCCCATCCTATTGTTATCCTATCTGCTTCAAAGCAGTTTGTTTTCCTTCCATCTGCCAAACAATGGGACCTGGGAGGTGGGAACAGTCCCTAGTCCTCCAGAGTAACATTAAGGCATTTCCTTTAACAGGTTTCTCTTCTATTTCCTTAGTTAATTTATAGTTAGGGTCAAGTCCTAAAGCAAATTTGAGCATAAGCATCAGCCATCCAGAGAGCAATCATAGTTCCAACCAAAGGAAATACAAGGAAGTGTGAGCAGTTTTAAACCTTAGAAGTCTTAAATTTTAAGGGATGGAGTTTAGACACAGTCTGTCTCTTCTTCCCATTCTCCTTTGGGTCATCTTGTTAATCTGTTGCCTTAGCATGACAGTGATGAATTCAGGCAGGAAACCAGTGACTTTGCCTGCAGTGGGAGTCCAGAGAATTATGATGGAAGGTCCTTTCCACCTGGGTTCATGCCTGTCAGTTTTGGAGCAGTGGATCATCACAGCATCTCAGGGGTGGAACAAATGATCAGGCTTGTACCCAACAGCTTGAGCTACCAGGACCTGGGGGAAAATCTCATGCAAAGTTAACTGTAATCCTTCCAAGGGCTCAGAGATCAGGGTGGACCATATAACAGTCCAGTATGCATTCAAGGAATCATTGCGGGTTGTCTTCCACAGACTATTTCATATGGGGTATACTTTTCTTGGTAGAGGATATAGCAAATCCTGAGAAGAGCATAAGGCAAGGTATCAACCCAGTTTCCAACAGTCTTAAGAGCGTACTTAGTTAAAATCTTCCTTAAAGTCCTGTTTGTCCTTTCTGCCTTCCCTGAACTCTGAGGATGACACATACAACGGAGATCCCAGTCTCTATTGAGAGACTTAGAGAGTGACTTAGGCGATTTAGCTGTGAAGGCCAGAGCATTGTCAGACCCGGGAGAGAGGCAGGCCAAAATTGGGAATAATCTCCATTATTAATTTCTTGGATACTACCTGGATCATTTTGGTTGGTATGTAAAGGCCTCTAAGCAGCTTCTGACAGTATTGACAAGAGCCAGCAAATATTTGTATCAGTAATAACCCTGGACTGGCTTCAGTCATGCCAATTTCCCAAAATTCACCAGGCACAATACCTTGACTCTGTCATCCTGTAAGGAGCATATACTCTTTTGAATTTGCCTGAGCACAGGTTAGGCAACTGTCTTGAAATATCTGCTAGTCCGAGGCAGACATGAGGGGTCATGAGTTCTGAAACATCTTTAGATTGCAAGTGCATGGAACAGTATAAGTGCTTAGCCAATTCTGGCCTAACACCTTTGGCATGCAGATTATCCCATCTGGCAGGATCCAACATCCCATGTTGTTTTCCAAGGCCCCCATGTCAGTTCTTCTGGATCATAGTTCTTCTGGATCATAGTTAGGGACATCTTCATTGAGGCAGAGTGGGAGCTGAGGAACAGTTGATAGGTCTGGGATGATTTGGAGGCAGAGGTCCTGGAATGCAACCTTCTTGGCAACCCAGTCTGCACAGTTATTATTACCGTGAATCTGGGGTTTTTGTGTTTTTGATGTTCAGGCCAGTGTATTATGGCCAGTTCAGTGGAAGCCAAATAGCCTCTAGCAATTGAATGATTTCATACTTATTTTTTAATAGTCTTTCCTTTTGAAGTAGGTAAGCCATTTGCTTATAAATCTGTCAATGACGTGAGCCGTGGCAAATGCATTCTGGCTGTCAGTGTAGATGTCCACTTTTTTTCTCCTCAGCTCATCTTAAGACGTGTGTAAGAGCAATTATTTCTACTCTTTGGGTGGATGTGCCTCTAGGCAGGGCTTGTAACCAAAGGACTTCTTTTTGGCTGTGACCATCTCCACCCCCACATACCTGGTTCTTTTCTGAATGAAGCTGTTGTCATCTGTGTAGACATCTGCATCTCTGGTGGGGATTGGAGCATCTGTCAGGTTAGGTTGCGTGCCTTGGATGATATCCAGCATCTCCAGGCAGTCAAGGATGGGCTTCTCAGTGTCATTATCCAGTAGCAGATTGGCAGGGTTAATGACCAGTGATTTCTCCAAAGTCAATCTGTTCTTATCTAGGAGAAGGGTTGATAATGAATTAGACAGGCATTTGATATCCACTGTGATGGGGGATGTCCTCTGTACATATATTCCTCCTATTGGTTGGTGAATAAAACACTGATTGGCCAATAGAGGCAGGAAGATAGGTGGGGCTCTGAGATGAGGAGAGAGGTAAGAGAAGTGGCAGTGAGAGATGCCATGTAGAGACTGGGAAGATAGGATGTGCTAGGCATTCTCTGGTAAAATAATGCCATATAGAAATACATACATTAGTAGTTATGGGTTAATAATTAAGAGATAACTAGCCAGTAAGAAGCCCTAGCCATTGGCCAGCAGTTTAAGAGTTAATATGTCTCTGTGTGCTTATTTGGGGCTGAAGGGTGGTGGGACCTGGCAGAATAGAAACCTACATCTTCACCACTGTTTACCAGGACTGCAGTGGCAGCAGTGCTCTCAGAAAAAAGGTCTTCCAGAGGCAACTGGGACCCATGGTTTTGAAATACAAGGCACTGTTCTCTTCCAGAGCCCCAGAGTCTGTGTCAGGACACCGTTGGCAATGCTCCTCCTTTCATGGATGTATGAGGTGCAAAGGCTTGGAGGCATAGGGGAGAGTGAAAGCTCAGGCCTCACTGAAGCTCTTAAAGGCTCATTCATATTCCTCAGTGCATTTTAAAGGAGTGTTGTTCCTGGCCTTTGCAATGCACAAGGGCTTAGCAAATTAAGTGAACCCAGGAATCCAGAAACAGCAACATTTAACATCTGCCATAAGTTTCCTAACTCGTTTTTTTTTAGTCTTTGGAACTGTGATTTGCTTTGTAGCCCCTATGTGGGATTGGGATAGCAATCTTTTTCCTTTTTTTTAATTCATAACCCAAGAAGGTAACCTGAAGTGTGAAAATTTGAGCCTTCTTCTAGGAGACTTTGTATCCTAATTGAGCCAGAATCTCTAAAAGGCCCTGGGTGACTCTTAAACAGTCTTCTTCATCTTTTGTTACTAACAATAAGTCATCCACATATTGGGGCAAAGTTGCCTCAAGGTACTCACTGTAGAAGAGGTTTAAGTCTTTGTTGAGTGCTTCATCAAAAATGGTAGAAGTGGGCCGGGCGTTGGTGGCGCACACCTTTAATCCCAGCACTCAGGAGGCAGAGGCAGGCGGATCTCTGTGAGTTTGAGGCCAGCCTGGTCTACAAAGCGAGTTCCAGGACAGCCTCCAAAGCCACAGAGAAACCCTGTCTCGAAAAACCAAAAAAAAAAAAAAAAAAAAAAAAAAGGTAGACGTGAGCCGGGCGTTGGTGGCACACGCCTTTAATCCCAGCACTCGGGAGGCAGAGGCAGGCGGGTCTCTGTGAGTTTGAGGCCAGCCTGGTCTACAGAGCAGCTTCCAAAACAATACAGAGAAACTGTCTCAAAAAACAAAAACAAAAAAATGGTGGAAGTGTTCTTGAATCCTTGAGGCAATCTGGTACAGTTTAGTTGTCCTGATATTCCTATTCATGGTCAGTCCCTTCAAATGTGAAAATGGGTTGATTTAATTCTGATAGTAACATGGAGAAGAATGCATCCTTTAGATCCAATACAGTATAAGCCTTATGTTTTGGTGGGAATAAACTGTACATGGCTTTGGAACTGTCCAGTAAATAACCTCCACCTATTTGTCTGCTTAAGTCTTGTACTGGTCTACAGTCTTGAATTCCAGGTTGTTTTAATTTTTTTGTGGTTTTCTTTCTTTTTGTTTAGTTTTTACATTCCAATCCTAGTTCTCCCTCCCTTCTCTCCTCCTGCTCCCCTTCCTCCCATCTGCTCCATGGAGAGGGTAAGCCCTCCCCTAGAAAGTCTACTAAGTCTGTCCCACCATCTCGTTCAGGCAGGACCAAGGCACCTCTCCACCCCCACTCCCCTGTGTCTAGGATGAGCAAGGTATCTCTCCATATAGAATGGGCTCCACTAAGTCAGTTTGTGCATTAGTGTTAGATCTTGGACCCATTGCCAGTGACCTCATATATTGTCCCAGGCACACCATTGTCACCTTATATTAAGAGAGTCTAGCTTGGTCTTATGCAGGTTCCCCGTTTGTCAGACCCGAGTCAGGTCAGCTGATTCTGTGGGTTTCCCCATCATGGTCTTGACTCCTTTGTTCATATTATCACTCTTGCCTCACTTCAGTTGTACTCCAGGAGCTTGGCCCATTGGTTAGTTGTGGATTTCTGCATCTGTTAGTTGTGGATTTTCTTCCATCTGTTTCTGGAAGAGGGTTCTAGCTTCTCTTGGGTTATGAACTGTAGGCTGGGTAACTTTTGCTTTATGTCTGGTATCCACTTATGAGTACATACTATATTTGTCTTTCTGGCTTTGGGTTATCACACTTAGTTTTTTCTACTTCTGTCCATTTGCCTGTTAATTTTAGGATGCCATTGTTTCTTAGTACTCCATTGTGTAAATGTACCACATTTTCTTTATCCATTCTTCAGTTGAGGGCCATCTATGCTGTTTCCAAGACCTGGCTATTGGGAATAGTGTTGCTATGAACACAATTGAGCAAATGTCCTTGTGGTGTGGATGTGCGTCCTTTGGGTATATGCCCAACAGTGGTATTGCAGGGTCTTGAGGTAAGTTGATCCCTAATTTTATGAGAAATTCTGATTTCCACAGCAGTGGTTAAAGTTTGCATTCACACCAGTAATGGAGAAGTGTTACCCTTTTTCCACATCCTCTCCAGCATAAGTTGTTTTTGATCTTGGCCATTCTGATGGGTGTAAGA